TTTTTTAAGAACTTTAGGGTCACAGAACTGAATTAATTAAACTCTGGTCTGAAATATTGTCCTCATTGGCTAGCAGTGCCTTTTCAAAAATTAGTGAAGTTACCATTAATCAAACATCTATCAATGCATAGGTTATTTCTAATCTTAAAACAAGCATGCAAATTAGGTGCTTTTAATTTCCACCCTACACCGACTTGAACTCAGATCTGCTGACTCTGGAACCTGCCTTGGTCCATCACAATTTACCACCTGTCTCTTCAGCTTTTACATCTAGAGTAGAGAAAGCAAGACAAGAACTGGAGCTTCACATTTCCAACTGTGCCTTGTGGTTCCCCTACCCTCTTGTGACCCATATTCCCAGCAGAATGGAACTGATTAATCACCATCTGGCCAAGGAGGGAGGCTAGTCTTTTCTTCCTTCCTCTGGGCTGACAAACTGTAATCCCAGTCCCTGCTCTAAGAACGGGTCCTGATTTATACTGTAATATAACCATTCTCTCAAAAATAATATAACCATTCTCTCAAAAATAATACGCAGATATCAATTTGCCTGTGATTTAGTTATGAGTCTTGCAAGAGAGAACTCTTTCCACAAACACTATTTCATTAAGGGGTAAGTGGGCCAATATCAACCTTTCCTCCCTTTGCCAACAGAAGCTACTACCTGGTAAGCACGAAAAACAGACGAGTAAGGGATGTCTCTGAGGACACTAGGGGAAACATTGAAGCCAGGGGCAAGTTGGAAATCTATGTCAGATGATAAGAGGTTCCAGACAACTGCCTGGATGGACTATGGATGCTGGTCATTCCTTGAGCTATGAGGGCAGATTGGCCAGTTCATTAACTGGCAACAAAGAGGATGGTCCAGTCACCAAGCCCCGTCTGGAAGTTTACAGGTTCTGAGTTGTGAGAGTCCTGCTTTCCTCCAGATACCACCTCTCTTTGAGTGACTGTGAAGCATAAAGCAAACCTAATTTGTTTTCCTGTTGGTGAGATGTGGAGATAACCTGTTCTTTGGCAGGAAGGCTTCTTTTCTATGAAGTGTGTTGAGCAACTCAATAAAAGTATTATATACATAGCTCTATTTTACAACAAATTTCCCCAGAAATGGCCAAATCATTTCCCCTGGTAACTAACAATGCCACCGCACACCAATTCCCCCGTGGTGGGTTAACCACTGTGGCAGCACAGCTGTGCACAAGCGCAGACTCACACCTGTACGTCCCACAGCGGGTTCTCAGCTTGATCTGTTTTCCAGACAGTTGGAGACCAGGGTGTTGAATGCTGCCTAATCTTGGTCTTTTCTTTGTTCTATTCAAATTATAACAACCCTGGGCCTCATAGACTCCTCAACTATAACAAAATGGGTAGGGATTAGATTTGGGACAAATGAAAACCAAGAGAGTGGGAACACTTTCTCCAAAAAAAGAAATGGTGAGGGTCTCCCTGATGGTGCAAGGGGTTAAGCACAGCTCCATGAAGCTATCCACAGCCACTGCGGCATGAATTCAATCCCCAGGCTGGCCGGGGAGCTACCCACATGGTGCAGCAGACCTCTCCTGTCTCCCCCACTATTCCCCTCAGCAGTGTATTTCAGTTTGCCTGTTTTGTGCCCTACTCTATCTCTGGTGAATCATCTCAGCCCCCACACCTCTGGCCTGTACCCCAGTTCTTGTATGCATAAATAAATAAATCTTTAAAAAAAAAAAAAGAAGAAGAACTGGAGAGCTAAGAGGTGGTGTATCTCATAGAAAGAAATCATTCACCTTTGGAAATCAAGATTAAACAAGACCTGAGTGGGATGGGAGACAATTCTAAAAACAGTTATTGCTAAATAAACTGGGACCAGAGTCTTTGATGGGGTACAAGGGATGAAACCTCAGCAAAAGGATTAAAGTAACTCAGTGGCCATTGCTAAATGGCATGGTCAGTTGCTATAAACTTAGACGTCCAACTACTGACTTTAGTGAGCAGAGTGACTATTTGCCCTTTGCAGGTTTCCTAGGTAGCTAAATGATTTCCATTCACTTTGGGCCACGTGGGTTAAAGCACCTCACCTGATATTTAGCTGCAAGTCCAAACCCTAATCCTGGGATTTACAATGCCATAACTAAAAGAAGAGAAAAGGAAGCATTTGAACCTTAGGAATTTGCAGAGAATTCCCACTTCTGGATTTTTTGCTAAATAGTGTTGATCAGTCTATTTTTAAGAGGCAGGACCTTTCATAAAACAGCTAAGATGACTTAAAGGGCCTAGGCATCAGCTACTTGTTTGATTTTATATTTTAATGATTCAAAAATCACTAGTCATGAAAAAAATTAGCAGTCCTATATCAAGTTAACTTACCTTCAAAAGTACCTTTGTGCGTATGTGGTTTTGGTTTATGTGGGTTTTCTGTTTTTGTTTTTGGTTGATTTTTTTTTTTTTTTTTTTTTTTTTTTAGTATAAAGGGAAAATGGTGGGGGAAATACATATTGTATTTTATCAAACCCCAAATGTGAAAAATAGTTTAAGAGACTGCTGACGCAGTTGCAGCTGGGTTCATTGAAGCCTAATTAAAATGCCGGTAACACATGATTCCTGCCCAGAAGTGCTGACTACCACTGAGCAGAAACTGTGGCCATTTGCTGTACAATATAAATAACAATAGACAGAACATTATCATAAACGCTTTGCGTGAAGCCCCTAACCTCTATTTCAAGGTTTACAAAAATCAATGATTTTCCAGGCAGGGGTAACCATAGAGAAAACAGGCTTGATTACAGAAGAAATTAAAAAAGCAGCAACTAAACATATGACTTAGACCACTGGACTCTCAATCACTGCAATTCAGTCCTTCATGTGTTGCTCCAGCAATGTGCTGGAAGCTGAGAATTCAGAGTTAGGAAAAATCTATGATCTATGATTTCAAGAAACCAAGGTCTAGGGGGCTAATAAAAATCTTGTACTTAACATGTTTTCTGAATCACAAAATGCTGTTAGAAAAATGAATGATAACTTAATTCTCAGTTTCCTTATCTGTAAAATGGGAATAATAATTGCATTTACTTCATGAGGTTGTCTGAGGATTAAATGTATTGTCTGTATTAAAGTGTAAAGTGCCTAAATATTGTGTGGCATATCATAAGCACTATTTATATAGGAATTATTGTTAGGGCAGAAATAATTATTGTTAGGGCAGAAATAAATTCTATTTTAATTGCTACTTCCAGATGCAGATAGACAGACAGACAGATATAGATATATGAATAGATACAGAATATACACATATATATTTCCTAGCCCTGTCTGACAGGGCCTAGGAGCAATGAGATCTCAAGAGAAATAAGCATATACAGAACCAAGATCTTCATTTCTAAAGAACATTTTTCAATAAATGGAACCAAGACTCCTTGAAGAAATGACTATTTCCAGAACTAGGGAAGGGAAAATACAAGATAGGCCTAGAGCATCAAGTACCAGAAAAGAGGGAAGTGCTCAAAAAAGTAAAAGGGGTACCAGACCCAATTTGATGGAGCTCCCAATAGAGCTCCACCAAAACTGAAACAACATAAATATCACCCTACTGGATTATAACCCACAGTACAAATTAAATATACATGAGCCCATGTTAATATAAATAAATGATCAAATAAACAGAATGGTTAAAAGAGTCACTCTTCCTCACAGAGAATTCTACATAATGTATGCAAATATTCCCTATCTCAGAAGGTAGAGTTTATCCCCTTCCACCTCTCTGCTTGGCAATGGGCTAAACTTAGTGACTCACTTCCAAAGAACACAGTAGGGGAAGTGGAAAGACAGTAACTTCACAGTGGAGAAACCTGCCTGGCCAATGCTATCTTAACCCCGTGATGAAGGTTAACATCCTCAGTAACGGCATGTGGATAGTACATCCCCTGTCATGTGATGTGACAAGAAGTACATGCCACTTCTGTGGTACTTTTTTAAAAAATCCATAACCCCAGACTAATCATAAGAAAACATCAAACAAACCCAGACTGGAGGATATTCTACAGACTGTCTACCCAGTATTCCTCAAGATTATCAGTCATGAAAATAAGGAAAGACCAAGAAATGGTGACAGACCAGAACAGACTAGCAAGACTTGACAACTAAACACAATGTTTTACCCTGGATTGGACTCTGAAAGAGAAGGAGCACATTAATGGGGGGAAAAAAAAAAACTGCTAAAAGGCAAAATAAAGTCTACAGTTAAGTTAGTTTTTTTTTGGGGGGGGTTATTTATTTATTTATACAAGCACTGGGTACAGTGAGAAGCGCAGGAGGGTAAGAAAATTCACGAGAGCCAGAGTGGGGAGCAGAACAGGTAGACTGATGAAATACACCGCTGAGGGGAGCAGCGGGTGCAGCAGGAGAGGTCTGCATGCCATGTGGGACCCTCACCGGTGGCCGGGGATCGAACTGGCGCTGCATAGGCTGCGGGCAGCTTCGCAGCCCAGCGCTCAACCACTGCACCACCAGGGGAGGCCCTAGTTAGGTAAATATTAATGTACCAATGCCAGTTTTCTTGTTTTTACAAACATGGTAAAATAAAATATTAACATTAAGAGAACTGGGTGATCTTTACATTTCTTCTGTAAATCTAAAATTATCCTGAAATAAAAAGTTTATTTAGGAATTTTTTTTAAAAATAGGCAATCTATGAAAAAATAAATAAAAGAGCAACTATATATTGTGTCAACTAAAGGAAACAGGAGCAAAACAATTTTCATGTTAGTCTTAGTTTTCAGCCAAGCGGAACTAGTGAAATGACAACTATTCTTTGATTCTTCATAAGGCACTTTAAGACAAACACCAAGCTATCTAGGCTCCATTATCAGCAAATGTTTGTTGGCTACATACCAGGGGCCAGGCACTGTCCTAGGCATTAAAGATACTTGGTAAAACAAAGCATATTTCCTGCTTTCAACAAATGTCCAGCCTCATTGGAGAAAGACAAGTTAACCAAAAATAAAATGCAGCATGATCATTCCTACCTGTGAAGTAATTTCAAGATTGTCAGGCTACTTCAAAGAACATTTGATCAGTTTGACACCAGTAAACCAGGCAGGACTGAGATGATCTCCTGGAAGAGACATAAATGATTTCATATGCTTTATGATCATCACAAGAAGCCGGGTGTTGGTCATATATATCAACCTTTTATATACAGCATACACTACACTGGGAAGTAGAATTAATTTTGATACCTCTTGCTAAAACCCTTCAAGGGCTTTCCATTAGTTAGAATCAGACAAAGCTCCTCATCATGTGTAACAGATTTATGTGTCAATGTGGCAAGGCTGTAGTACTAATAATCCGGGTGTTTTGGTGAAGGCATTTTTAGATGTGTTGAACATCTACAATCAGTAAACAGAGAATACCTGGAAAATGTAGTGAGTCCAATCAGCTGAAGGCCTTAAGAGTGAGAACCAAAGTTTGCCAGAAAAGAAGAAATTCTTTCTCAGAAAAGAAATTCTGCCTCTCCAATGTTGCAGCATCCATTCATGCCTGAGTTTCTAGCATGCCTGCCAGCGTGCTCAACACACTTCAGACTTGCCATGCGCTCTTAATTTTACATATAGCATTTTTTATAGAGAAAACTATATTATATATGAGATTACATATGTATTAGAATATACATAATGTATATTAGGGTATATATTACATATCCTGATGGACATATATTAGGATATATGTGACATATCCTATTGGTTCTGTTTATATTTATAAATGGCATACATATATAATTACATATACATATACATGTATGTGTACACCATATCTCCTATTGGCTTTGTTTCTCTGAAGAACCCTGACTGATAAACGATGGCCACAATCTTCAAGCTTCATACATTCTGGATTTTACCCTCCTCACCAATCCCTATTCCTCCTCTGTCTCTTCTGCACGCATAGGCTTTTTCTCATCCTGAGTCCATTCAACACATCCTGGCCCCTCCTTGCATAGGCTGTTCTGTCTCCATGATTGTTCTCTTTTTTTTCTTGTTAACACATATTCATGCCTCAGCTCTTAGTGCAACTGTTGCTTCCAGTACTACCCAGTGTCAAACTCACTTAGCATAAGCTTTCAAAGCACTTGTGTCCTCTGCCTCCCTAAATTGCAGCTTCCATCTTCCCTACATATAAGTTCCATGAAGGCAGGAACTGTCTGGTTTCACTCATTTTTTGTGATTATATTACTGTAGTGGCAGGAAGGCCACTGAACAGGTTTTCTGATCCAGCAGACCGGGTAAAGGAGGAGTCTTGGAGCCCTCAGTGGCTTTTGCAGGCTTTTATTGGGATTTACCAGGTACACAGCAGGCAGGGGTGCTGGGGTGCTGGGAGGCCGACAGGCCTCCCAGCCTCCAGCAAGTCTTCACTCTTTCTGGGCTCTACAGAGTTCTCTGCTCTTCATGGTTCTTCTGGTGTCCCCGTGACGCTGCCCTTATAAGCCCAGTCTTAGCCCAGGTGAATCCCATCTACATATGCCCATACCCTACTCCAGGTGCCCCCATCAGGCATGCATTCAGGACCACAAGGATCCATCATCAATCCTAATGGCGGGAGGGCAGAAAAGCCTGACACTTTTTATTTACCCTACAACTACCTAGCACAGTGCTTGAGACATAAGTCTCTCAATGAATATTTGTTTAAAGGATGTCAACACAGATGTTGTAAAATCAAAAAACAGCCCCCTCCATAGTCACACCATCTGAACTTCTTTCAGGTAGAATCCAGTGATTCAGTCCTCTTGATAACTCATCAAGCTGAAACTCAACATTTAAAAAAAATAAAAGGGGAACTCGGGGAGGCAGTCAAAGCAGGCAGAAGGAGGGGGCTTTACTTGCCAGAGACAGAAATGTCTCTGCAGATGGGCTAGAGGTGGTCAGTGTGGCTGCAGCCTCACGTTGACACCGACTTCTCCAAAAATACCACCTGCCTCTCAACCCAAAACGGGGCTTATGTAATTATATTTCCCACTTCTTACCAGCTGCCAAGTGTTGAAACTCTCAGAAGCACGTTTTTTAAGTCTTAAGAGAAATATCAACTCTATTAAAGGAGAGAAAAAGATATGTTCTTACCAGATTTTTCTTTATCTAAAAGATTCAAGCCTAAAAAATATTGAACCCTGGCTGAATTTGGTAAGTATAAACAAGTGAGTATTACATTTCTTCTTTAGGTTATTTTTAACCTGAGTTACCTACTTTGGATAAACTGTCAAAGCTCCCTACACAACAGGCCCCTAGGTGATGTTTCCAAAGGCAGTACCAACAGCTGATTCCTCAATACATATATGTGGCAATTTTACCTATTTTCAAGTTCATTGACATTCTTCCTAGTGACAGGTGGAGTCTATATCCCTTCCTTTCAAATCTGGGTGTTTCTGACTAAACACCACTTTACATTGACTAAAATGTGTTGGAAATACTGCTCTGTGATTTCTGGGCTTGGCATAAATGACCATGCAGTTCCTTCTTGCACAGATGTCATTAGCGAATCCAGCCAGCAGGTAAGAAATGTGACTCTCCCAGGCTCCTATACTGTGAGGAATCCAAGCCACCAAGGAAGGCCACTAAATATGCTCCAGTTGGCAGTTCTAGTCTTCAAGTTCTCTCAAGCAGGGGAGTACACAGGCTCTCAGATGATGCAGAGGTTCTCTAGCCCCCCCAGCTGTTGCTTTAACCCCAGACCTTGACTTCTTTCCAGCCGAGACCTCAAACACGGGGGACAGAAGGTTCAAACCAGTCACCCCCATTGCACTCTTCCCAAATTCCTTCCCCCAAAACATACTAAAATAGTTACTGCTTTACCTTATTGTGTTTAGATTGTTGTCTGTTGTGCAGCAACAGTAACCAGAACAAAAAGAAAATGAGTTATTTCTTGGATGTCAAAACAAATGACCAACTTCTCTCCACAGGTGTCAACACTCATCAACAGCTGTATCTCGACAAGTCTCTCACAGTAAACAAACAAACAAACAAATCAGAGCTAACCACAGTATTTTATGAAAAGGAGTGAATTCCAAGCAACTTAACCTACTCAGAGAGAGAAAAGAATTGTGTTTGAAAAAGGAGTGTTTAATCAATGTTTCATGAATGAATAAAGGAATGACCCAAAAAGCCATGAAATGTTCAAATTCAGCAGAAGGCAAAGAACAATATTCTGAGACCAAGGGAACCTTAGCTCCCAGTTCAAAAAATTCAATCCTACCTCAGTCTCTAGGACTCTAAATTATTTTGACAAGTTGAATAACGAAGCAAGATAAAAATAAGTGGCTGGAATAAGCTTACCCTAAGGGCAGCTGACTAGATTTTGCAAGGACCTCAAATTCTTTTGGGGAAGGTGTTGGACTTGTCCTGAAGGTAATAGGAAGCTGTGAAATGCTTTAAAATAGGGAAGCATTGTGATGAAATATAGTGTTGGAAGATTAATTTGAATCTTGTTAGGTGATAAACTTACTGGAAAACAAAATAGAAGAAAGGTTATTTAGCACTTAGGAAACATCTGCAGTCCCACAATTAAAATGCAGTTGACCTTTGAGCATGAACATGGGGTTAAGGGTACTGACACCTGTGTGGTTGAAAATCCACATAAATTTTCATTCCTCTCAAAACCTATCTATAGCTGTCCCTCTGAATCCACAGGGAGATTGGTTTCATGACCCCTGCAGATACAAAACTCCCGGCATACTTAAGTCCCTTATAGTGAACCCTCCATATCTATGGGTTCTGCATCCAAGTAGTCAACCAGAGATTGGGTGAATCTATGAAAGCAGAACCTGAGGCTATGAGGAAGAAACAGTATCGAAAAGAATTCACTCATAAATGGATCCATACAGTTCAAACTAATGTTGTTCAAGGGTCAACTGTACATAAACCTGAGCTGCTCTGAGCACAGTGAGAGGAAAAGGAGTGCAAAGGTGATTTGGCTGCATGAACAAGAGGGCTTGGACAGCAGACTGGATATCAGGAGCACAGGTGAAGGAAGAATCATAAAAGATTCAGAGATCTTGAATAAAAGAGGTCAGTAGAGCTGAAGGAAATGGAATGAAAGAGGAAGTATCTTTGGAGAATAGGAAAACACAGTAGGAATCTATGGACTTTGAGATGGTGCTAACAGGACATTTAGGTAAAAAGAGCCAGTGATGGGCCTCCCTGGTGGCACAAGGGGTTAAGACACAGCACTATGAAGCTATCTGCAGCCTCTGCAGCACAAGTTCGATCCCCAGCCAGGGAGGTGACCCACATGGCGCAGCAGACCTCTCCTGTCTCGCCTGCTGCTCCCCTCAGCAGTATATTTCAGTAGATCTGCCTGTTCTGCTCCCCACTCTGTCTCTGGTGAATCTTCTCACCCCTTGCATCTCTGGCCTGTATCCCTGCTCTTGTATGCATAAATAAACGAATCTTAATTTAAAAAAAAGAGCTAGTGGGCCTCCCCAGTGGCGCAGCGGTTGAGCGCTGGGTTGCGAAGCTGCCCGTGGCCTCTGCGGCGCCAGTTCGATCCCCAGCTGCTCCCCGCCACCGCTGGCACGCAGACCTCTCTGAGCAGTGTACTTCGGTCCTTCTGCCTGCTCTGCTCCCCGCTCTGGCTCTGGTGAATTCTCTCACCCTCCCGCGCTTCTGACTGTACCCAGTGTATGTATAAACAAACAAACAAATTAATAAATAAATAAACATGCCTCTATAAGAGCTAGTGGGATGATTGGAGATCTTGGGTTAAGGAAAAAGGTAGAAGATAGGCCTAGGAAAGTGGACTTGGGAATATCAGCCTGGAGGCGATACCTAAAGTCATGAATGAATTCCCGTATTTTGCCATGTTAGACTATATTAGGTCTTTGGTGCTCATGGCACATTATAGCCCAGGATGAAAAACTTTGAGAATACAGCCTCTTTTTTAAGTTTGGGCTGCAAAATTAGTTCTACTACACCACATATTGATAGCAATTTAAAAATTAAGAAACAAAATATGAATTACAGTAAGTGCCTCTATTCATCTGGGCTCTCAGTACATTTTGGTTTTATTTGTCTTATTATTGAGGAAACATTGGTTTACAACAGTGTATGTGGTTTAGAAGAATAGATTCAC